GACGGCTATCGGATAGAGCAAAATCGCAACTGATAATTTGAGAAAATAAAAATGAAGATAAAGAAGACACAAAATTTACGTGGAAAACCCCTAAATAAAAAAGGGTAAAAATCACGGGCAACGGTAGAAGAATTTCATTATGAGAAAATAGGAATTACAACTTCTCTCGATCTACGAAGGAGAAAACAATGATAGTTCTCTCTTGATAAAAAGGAGAAAACAACTCTCAAGAAACTCTCTAAATTCTCTCTAGTATTGGAAGAAAGCTAGAATGCTTTGGGATAGTTTTGAAGCTAAATGAGCTAGGGTATTTATAGTTGAAACCTAAGGACTAATCTTATAAATACCCTAAAATTAAAGTGACTAAATTGGGTATTTTACCCTTGCTAATTTTCAACAATTTGCAGCCATTTTAGACTAATATTAGCCGCCCATATGCTAAATTCATTTTTGACTTTCAACAATCTCCCACTTGAAGATTTGATTGAAACAATCATATCTTCACACCATTCTTTCTACCTTATACCATCATGTTGCTTACGTTTCTGACAGACCACAAGAGGATCGACACCAGTTAAATTTATCAGCATTGATTGCCTTCGTCATGAAATCTGTTATGTTGTCTTTGGTATGGATCTTCTGCATATCTACCGTTCATTCTTCCACCTTTTCACGAATGAAATGGTACTGAACTCGTATGTGCTTTGTCCTTGAATGAAATGTTGGATTCCTTGCTAGATGCAAGGCACTTTGACTGTCACAAAACAAAGAGACATACTCTTGATTGTGCCCAAGCTCCTCCAATAACATCTTCAACCAAATTGCTTCTTTACTGGCTTGTGTAGCTGCTACATATTCTGCCTCTGTTGTGGATGTAGCCACAATTGACTTCAATTTTGAAACCCAACTTACAGCTCCACCAACAACTTTGAACACATATCTTGTAGTAGATTTGCTTTTATCCAAATCCCCTGCATAGTCAGAATCTACATAACCATTTATTAGTAAGTTTGATCCTCCATAACATAATGCAACATTTGAGGTTTCTTTGATGTATCTCAGGATCCTCTTCACTGTATTCCAATGCTCTTTGCCTGGATTCGCCATGTACCGACTAACCACTCCCACTGCTTGTGCAATGTCTGGTCTTGTGCATATCATAGCGAACATTAAACTTCCCACTGCTGATGCATACGGTACTCGACATCTCCATCATCTCTTCTTCACTTCAAGGACTCATACTGGAGGATAATTTGAAGTAAATAGGAAGAGGGTAGAAATTGGCTTACAATCTTGCATGCTAAATCGTGACAAGATTTTCTTCAAGTAATTCTTTTGTGAAAGCCAAATCTTCATATTACTTCTATCTCGGTGAATTTGCATCCCTAGAATCTTGTTTGCTGATCCCAAGTCCTTCATTTCAAATTCCCTAGCCAGTTGTGCCTTTAATTCTTCAATATGATCTTTGTTGGGTCCTGCAACCAACATGTCATCTACATACAACAACAATATAACAAAATCGTTATCACCATACCTCTTAAAATAAGTACAAGGGTCTGCATTAAGTCTGTTGTATCCAAGGCACATAATGAAGGAATCAAATCTCTTATACCAACACCTCGACGCCTGCTTTAGACCGTACAGAGATTTGTTCAACCTGCAAACCAAGTTCTTCTTTTCGTCTTCTTCAAAACCTTCAGGCTGGAGCATATAAATCTCTTCTTCAAGATTTCAATGAAGAAAAGCTATTTTAACATCTAGTTGTTCCAAATGTAAATTCAATGTAGCACACATTGCCAAGACTACTCGAACTGTTGTTAGTCGAACCACAGGAGAAAAAATTTCATTGAAATCAATACCTTCTTTCTAAGCATATCCTTTGACCACCAGTCTTGCACGATACCTCTCCACTTGATCGTCACCATTTCGCTTGATTTTGAAAACCCATTTGTTACCAATTGGATTCCTTCCTTGTGGTAGTGGCACAAGATCCCATGTATTATTTTTATGAAGGGCTTCGATTTCTTCTTGCATCGCCATCATCCACAGTGAAGCATCTGAGCTGTTTATTGCCTCCTGATATGTTGATGGCTCACCGTCCTCTGTTAAAAGACATTATGCAACATTTCCTTCTATAATATAATCGGAGTGCCAATTGGGACGTTTTCTCACACGATCTGATTGACGAGTTGTTGGTGCTTCAGAACTCTCTGGTTCTTGTTCATCATGTGCTGGTTTTGCTTCAAAAGAATCTCCTTGTTCAAACGCCTTTTCCATATGTATCTGTGTAGTCTCTGACTTTTCAGCGCTGTCATCGTCTTCTTTTCTTTGTAGCTTATCTTCTACAAAGATAACATCTCTACTGATGATCACTTTGCGGGCAGTGGGATCCCACAAGCGATACCCCTTTACTCCATCAGCATACCCCAAGAATTTGCATTTCCTGGATTTTGGATCCAACTTTGAAATTTCTTGGGAGTTGTACATCACGTACACTATACTTCCAAATACATGGAGGTTTGAATAATCAGTTGGTTTTCCAGTCCACATCTTCATTGGTGTCTTCAGCTCTATTGCAGTTGATGGAGCTCGATTCACCAAATAACAGGCGGTATTGACTGCTTCTGCCCAAAATGATTTTTCTAGGCATGCATCTCTCAACATTGCTCTTGTTCTTTCTAACAAGGTTCTGTTCATCCGCTCTGCCACTCCATTTTGTTGAGGAGTATTCGCCACTGTGAACTATCTTTTGATGCCTTCTTTCCTGTAAAAATAATCAAATTCTTCGCTTGTGTATTCTCCTCCATTATCTGTTCTGAAACACTTGATCTTATTTCCAGAATCAAGTTCCACCCGCGCCTTGAAGTTTTTGAAAGTTGAAAACACGTCTGACTTCTTCTTAATAGGATACACCCAACATCTCCTGGAGTAGTCATCAATAAATGAGACAAAGTATTTTGCTCCGCCTAGGGATGTAACTGGTGCTTTCCATACGTCAGAGTGAACCAATTCTAGAACACTTTTGCCTCTAGAATTTGATTTGTTGAATTTCAATCGGTGCTACTTACTTGTTATGCAATGCTCACACAAAGGAAGTATTACCTTTGTTAAGCCTGGAAGTAGCTTTTGCTCCACAAGGACTTTCATTCCTTGTTCTGACATGTGTCCAAGTTTCTGATGCCATAGCATTGCAGAATCTGGACTACATGAGGCAACAGAGGCTTCTGCTTCTAGCAAAGTCTCTCCCTTCAGCATGTACAAGTTTGCAGTTATCTTTTCGCCTTTCAACACCACAAGCGCTCCACGAAACACCTTCATGATTCATTTCCGTGTTTCAATCTTGCTTGCATTATTATCCAACAATCCGTAGGATAATAAAATTTTCTTCAGGCCCTTCACGTGCCGCATATCTCGAACAACTTTGATTGTTTCATCATACATCTTCAATTTGATGGTTCCCACACCAACGATCTCTAAGGCATGATCATTGCAACTATACACAGATCCTCCTGAGACAGGTTCATACTGATGTAACCATTCTCTTCTTGAGGTCATGTGATATGTTGCTCCTGAATCAATGAGCCATATATTTGCAAATCGTTTTCTACCTTCCACGGTGGTTGACGCTTCACAGCATAGAGCATCTCCATCATCTGAAGTGTTTGCGGTATTGCCTTGTGGATTGGAGTTTTTATTTAGACTCCAACAATCCTTCTTCAAGTGACCCTTCTTTCCACAGTGGTAGCACTTTAAATTCTTTTTGCTTCTTGACTTCGATCTACCATGTTTGTGACTGCTGCTTTGGCCATGTTCTGTTGATCTCCTTCTCATCGTTGTCAACGCTTCTGCTTGTTGCAGATTTACTTGTCTGTCTTCCTTGTTCTTGCGCCGATTTTCTTCTTGTAGAACAGCAGCTGCAACGTCATCGAAGACTAGACTGGTGACATTACTGTTTGTCATATTGATGATGAGTTGATCGTACGAATCCGGTAAACTTTTAAGTAGAAGTTCAACACGTTCTTGTTATTCTATTTTACAGCTTAAGGATGTAAGTTGAGAAAATAAGGTGTTCAGTGTATTTAAGTGCTCCGTCACTGAAGTAGATTCTGGCATACGGAGAGTGTACAATTTCCTCTTAAGGAAAATTTTATTGTGCAGCGATGTGGCCTCGTACAATTTGGTGAGATGATCCCATATCTCCTTAGTTGTCTTCTTCTCCTCGATGCTTGACAATACTTCATCTGCTAATGTAGATGAAAGTTTGCCATAGCATTCCCATCCATCTCGTTCCATTTGATGTCATCTGCGAAATCCACCGACCTTTCATTGATAGCCGCTAGACACCCGTCTTTCCTTAGGATGACCTTCATCTTCAATTTCCACAATGAGAAATTTCTCCCATTGAATTTTTCATTATCAAATTTCGTTGCCATAGCTTCTTTTACGGATAGCTCCCACTATTTCACTATCGTGAATAGTTCTCTGGAACCTTCAAAGAATGTGTAATAACTTCTTATTTTCTTATGTTGGAGGATCCACCTTTTGGTGGCAACCACAAAGACAATAAGTAGATATTACACACTCTAATCTAGCTCGATACCAATTGTTGCGGAAGACGGCTATCGGATAGAACAAAATCGCAACTGATAATTTGAGAAAATAAAAATGAAGATAAAGAAGACACAAAACTTACGTGAAAAACCCCTAAATAAAATAGGGTAAAAACCACGGGCAACGGTAGACGAATTTCACTATGAGAAAATAAGAATTACAACTTCTCTCGATCTACTAAAGAGAAAACAATGATAATTCTCTCTTGATAAAAAGGAGAAAACAACTCTCAAGAAACTCTTTAAATTCTCTCTAATATTGGAAGAAAACTAGAATGCTTTGGGATGATTTTGAAGCTAAATGAGCTAGGGTATTTATAGTTGAAACCTAAGGACTAATCTTGTAAATACCTTAAAATTAAAGTGACTAAATTTGATATTTTACCATTGCTAATTTTCAATAATTTGCAGCCATTTTAGACTAATATTAGCCGGCCATATGCTAAATTCATTTTTGACTTTCAACAGATCAGTGTGTGAAGAGCGAAGCGGGTAACAAGTATCCTCCCCGCTAGTATTCCATAGAAAATCAGCGTAGTTTGTGGAATAATAAGGGTTATCAAGATCTGCTTCAGTTGCTTCCAAGAACATTTCCTCAGATGCCCACATATCATCCTTAACTTTCCATAAGAAGTTGGCGTATTTACTGTATACGTCGGCGTCACCCGCTTCCACTTCTATCGCTTTCTCGAACAACTCTTCCGCTCTGATAATCAACAAACACAGACACATTCAATTACGCATTCAACTGGATGAAAGCAACTGGTTTCATATTGGTCCAAGGTTTGGAAGCATGCGTACGTGTGATATTTATTTCATGTTAAAAGTGTCACGTGCACAAATGTGGCATTTTTCATATTCGCCATGAAAGTGAAACCTATGAAGCTGCATCACACATTCATCTATTGATAAAAACCCCATGCATAATTGGCAGTAAGGTAGAGAAATTTGTACCTATCGTAATCATGAACGATAAGGTAGAGAAACTGAGCATAATTGGCAAGGAGGAGAGGATTGTTAGGCTCTTGTGATAATCCTATATGGTATAGAAGATCCCTTCTTGTTTCATGATGGAGCATTTCATCTGATAATAAACCTCCCATTTTCTCTTCCTGCCATGCTGTTGTCGACTCTGTTTTATCGAACCATTCATCACCGTCGGTGCCACCAGCAGCCGGCCGTTCTTTTCCACCGCCACCGCCGTTGTTTCCGCCTATCGAAGTGGTTTTCTTGCTCGATGACTGCTTAGAATCAAACTTTGGATGCTTATGATCTTCCCAAAGCCCATCTCGCCAATGTAGTTTCAAATACTCTCTTCCCGAGTCGGACCTTCCCGAATCCGAAGAATCAGTGTTAAATCCCCGGTTAGTTTCGCCATCATCGTCTGATAAGTGGAATCCGAGGGAAAACTCTTGATGTTTCTTGGAAAATTCTTCATCCGAGAAGTCGTTTAAACACGCTCTTGCTGAAGTTCTGGATGTTGGCTTGACGAACTCGCAAGATTCAGACCAGCGGATAATGGTGACATGAGAACCAAAAAATGCAGATCTGTTCAGCGTTGGAAAACGGATCTCACAACAAGAAAAGCATCGAAACGGCACCGTCTTGATAGGGACGGTGACGGGGTTGCCAAAGGCAAAGAGGAAGACGGAGATTGGGGAAGATTTTGGTTTAAAAACTTTAAACAAGGCGTTGCTGCTACTCTCAATACCAATTGTTAGAACTCGGCGATGCGCTTCCAAACAGAGACTAGGAAGGTTTTTTGTTAGCCGGCCGAGAAAAAAACTCCGGCGAAGCTGATTACTTATCGGGAAGTAGAAACAGAGCTCCAATCGCTTATAAAGCAAAGCTCTTTTGCCATTTTGTACGTCGAACAGAAAACAAAAAACAAAAAGAGAAAAAATGTAATTTCAATAGATCTAACATCTCAAGTTAGTTAAAACAGCGTAAAAAGTTAACATAATCCATAATTCTTTTCGCGGGGTGATCCGGTTACCCGTTTGCTTAACGCCGGTAGGCTTGGTAATTTATCGTTCGTTCGTTTTCCCCCTTTATAAATTATATGGTTAAACTACACATTTAGTACTTAGACTATTAATTTTATTTTCTTTTAGTATATAAATTTTCATTTATTTCAAAATCATATATAATGTTTACCTTTTATTTCATTTTGGTACATTGCTGTTAAAAATTTTGTGTCATTCTTTTATGGGTAAATTACATATCACTCAACTATCTTTACATTCTTATTTTGATCACTGAAGTTTATTTTTTTAACTTAATTGCTTAATTTTCAAATTTCTTTCTTTTTTTAATTACATATTAATAATAAAAAATGTCATATCACAAAATTATTAATAAAATAAATTATAGTAATCAAAACATGAACAATTTGAAAGTTGAGTAGTAAAATTAAAAAAAATTAAACAAAAAAACACTGTTCATATTAAAATTTTAAAATTTAAAATTAAGTGTTGAGAACAATTCGAGAGAGTCTCGTTTTTTAAATTTTGATAAATTAAAAGAAAAGTTTTCATCAGTTTTTATAAAATAAAAGGATAAAATTTAATTAAACCTGTTAAGAACACTTAAATTACATAGTATTATTTTTGTGTCTATAAGTGTAAAAAAAGCTAAAAAGACGATGACAAAGCCGAGGTCCAAAATGAAAATGCTGGGAAACACAATGACTTGCTTTAACGCGTACATCAGGGGGAAATAGAGTCAAAACTAAAGTGTCGATGGTGAGGGAATGTAAGATGAAGGGTTGATAATTTTGATTCTTCTTGTTTACTTACTACAGGCCTTGATTAAAGGAAGTTTTGTCATAAACATTGTCTCCTAGGCTTGCATGATTCAGTGAGTTCCACGCCATGCATGAATGTGCTGAATTCCATCCAATCAATACATGCAAAACTTCCCGACAAAGAGATAACACTTGCTCATAATTTGGCGTCTTCTTGTGAGACAAATTCTTTGACGTGCGTTCCCAAGGTATATACGCAAGTGGTTCAAATTATCAAATACATGGAAACGCCAAATCACACCATAACCCTTCTTTTTTTATGGGAAAAATAACAAGTTTATTACTACCATTTTCCAACCACTTATTGATCCATGACCCGTACAATCCGACCCAATCAGATTGGCTTGGGTTTAGACTTTACCCGTGGCCCGACTAGAATATAAATAATAAATAATTAAAAATACATTTTTATTTTAGTTCTATACTCCATAAACATATACTCAAGATTGGCTTCAACTTTTCATGTCTGCAACACTCTTATCTTTCTCAGTGTTCCGATTTCCAGTGTGAACTATTTTTCAAGGGTTGAAGAAGAAGGATGAACGCAACTTCGACATCCTCAAGACTTGGCTAGGCCGAGTTGTATTCCAAGTTGGCATTACTTTGATCTATATAACAAGCAAGATTTGCCATTAACGAGTGTTCACTAATGAGAAGGGGGAAAATAAGACTAAAGGGATCGATGCATGGGAAGTTTGAGTTTTGCATACCCAATGGAACTGGAATTTTATGGACAAAAAAGCACGCAGAAATGACTATGTAACAAAGGCAAAGAACTGCTCCTTTCATGTAATGTGAAGTTCCATCCTGGAAAAAAAAGGATGAAAATATCAACACTGTGATTTTAATAATTTGTTAAGAAAGAAAACCAAGGAAAATAAACCTGTAGGGTAAAGGCCACAACGAGTATTGTTAAAGCAAGACAACCAGTTTCAAGGAGACTGAAATCAAGGTCCATTGGAACTTTCATAATCCACCCAGTTACAACACACAAAGGAACCTGAAACACATATCATGGAGATTGAAGTTGTTGAATTGAAGATGACAACATCGATCTTGAAATTAAAGATGTTCTTGAGCTTGTTTGAATCTTACAGCAAACATAGAGATTTGAGTTGCAGAACCCAGAGCAACACCCAGAGATATGTCCTGAAACAGGTTCCAAAGCACACAATAGAGTTACACACACAGAGATAAAAAAATTAACGTAAAATAAGTGGGTTTTGGGTTTAGTTTACCAATTTATTCTTGAAAGCGAAAATGATAGCTCCAGCATGTTCAGCCGCATTCCCCACAATAGGTATCAAAATCATGCTGATAAAGCTAATGGAAATTCCCCAAGTATCTGATGCAGCCTGAATATCATCCATCAACACAGATCCATCACTGTATCTATATATATCGATAATCTATATCTATCTATATATAATATCATGTACCTCCACTGTTCCCACTACATACTCAGATAGCAAAGCTATAATGAGTGTCATACCAACCAACCAGCTAAATCCACTCCAAAACCCTATCACTGGTTTTTCCTCATCTTCATCCTCACCATCCCCTTGAGCGTCGAAAATCTGTCTATGAGTTTTAAGCTGGAAGATGATATATCCGATATAAGCCACGAGCATAACCACGCTACTCGCTCTCGATAACTCCAGTGTAGATTCGGCAATCGAAATCCCACTAGGCCGTGCTGCGTATCTGAACATCAATGGCAGCATATGGCATAGCAGTCCCAGAAGCAGCAAACCAGAGTTCACATCAGCTTGTTTCTGCACATTATATACATAATCCCAAAGCATTAACAATTTAATTTCTCAAACTTATATAGAAATGGAAATAGCTTACTCTATCATATCTTTGCTCTTTCTTGAGATTAGCTAAGCCACCACAGAGGAGAGAAGTGCCAAGAACAAGGAGAAGATTTGAGAGAACGGAACCCAAGAGCGAGTACTTGAGGACATGGATTTTGTTTTGGTAAAGTGCAAATAATGCTATGATCAGCTCTGTTGCGTTTCCACAAGTTGCATTCAGCAGCCCTCCAACTACAGATATTTTCACTCCGTTCATTAAAATCCTTTTAATTGTTATCAATTCTCTCAATATCATAAACAAGTTCAGTTATACAAAAGGCTTATCTTGGAAACATAATACCTGTTGGACCTGTATAGTATGCGATTTGTCTGAATTTATAGAAAGAAACCTTCGTCAGAAATCACCTCATAAAACTAGACAACATACGTGCATGAAAAGATTGTTAATATTTAAATTGACCCCCAACAATATAATGTTTTACAATTTGGTGCAAAATAGTTTTAAATCGGGTACTTACATTTTATTTATGACTCGATACTGTTAAATAAAAGGCACTATTTAGTGAGTCAAATGCCAATTATGCCACAATTGCTTTTAGAATATTTAGCCTTACATGTGGTGATTTAGTATTTCTATATTAGTTTATTGAGATAATTTGCTAACAGAAATACACGTGGTGATTTTGATTTTTTTTCTTTAGATACAATCCGATAATAAATGCATAGTTTAAGGGTTAATTTGTATATTAACTAATTAATCTAAAAGAAAATGGGAGGTTTGTAAAAAGTTTGATGGCAGTAAATGTAAAAAATTGACCTTAGGACTAAAGATAAATATTCAAAAACTGAGGGATTGTAAATGATTAAATCATGATAGAAGAACTAAACCCGCTAAAAACAATAGTTTAAGGACTTTTTTAGGATTTGACCAAAAGAAATACTAATAGAACTTACTCAGTGAGGAAGCTGACACGCTCAGCAAGGGGTGTAAGTCCAAGCAAACTCAAAGCAAATATCCATGGCTATAAGCATTAAAAAGAAAAAAACCCAGAAGAGGTAAATTAAAAATTGATATTGAATAACAAGAAATAATGCAAATTAAATTTACAAAATGCTAAACTTACTCTTCCAAACTTATAATAATCAGCAGCAATGGCTAAAGGGACGGCAGGGAAGAGAACAGCAAGCTTTGTCCCTAAAATCACTTCTTGCAGATTTGCCAAGAACTGCCTGAGCATCCGAAACCGGATCGTTGAAACCAACATCGGGTCGGATTTCTTACGCATAAACGAATTCGACCTGTTTTGTGCTGTCCTAATAACTCCACTGTTGTCATTACATGTTTCTTTGTCCATCAAATCTTTATTAGACTCTCCACTTTCCATGTAAGAAAGCTCACCTGCAGATTCCATTGATGCAAATAATAATAATAATAATATGAAGAAGAAGAATCAAAAGCAAATGGAAAAAGCAGGTGTTATTTTGTTTAAAGAGAAATAATTATTAATAATAAAGCAAAGTGGGGAATGTTTTTGGTTTCTTTATGCATGGTGATTATATAGGGGACAGTGAAGCACTAAAATAATATCTTTTTCTGCCATTGTTGAAAGAGTCGAGAGGTACCCATTTGATTTCACGCAGTTTCCTAGAATTTTCCCGCTCTTTTGTTTCCATTCATGCATGCGTTTGTGTGAGCCTCCTCACGTACTGTTTGTTTAGCTGTTAGAGCTTCGATTTAATGTATTCCACCTCTTGAGTTAAAAAGTACATATTTATACACATTCCATCACGTACATGTAAAGTTTAAAGTATTACATTTATAGGTCAAATTCTTTAGAAAGTCCTTATACTATACATTTTTGGTGCATTTAGACTCTACTGTAATATTTTATCATCTTGTTAACATTAGTGAACTGTCACATCAACATGTTAACTATCATATAAACATTATAATGATTAACGTTGTTCAAAAGACGAGATTAATACAATTAAACTAATTTAATGGTGAAATTAATGCAATTAAAAAGTATGGACTAAATTATTAATTTGAGTTTATTTTAGGAGCAAAATGACCCTTAATTCAAAAAAAATGACATATCAAAGTTTTGAAGGGGAGCAATGAAAAATTGAATTCAAGAACGAAAACTCATATTCCGAGAATTAAGAGATTATAAATGATGGAATAATAAAGTCAACAATTCATAGAACATGGATTTTGTATAAAAATTGACCAAATTTATAATACGAGTGTGAAGAGATAATAATATAAGAAAAGGTGATTAATTCATCTTCTAATAATAGTTATTGAGATTTTTTAATATATATATATATATATATTATTTTTAATTTAAATAAAATTTACTTATATTTTAGAATAAAAATAAATTATTCTTTGCAACAACGAGCACTGGAGTTGTTATGTATAGAGATTTGTTAAGGAGGATGGTACATGTATAGTGGAAGGGGGTGAAAAAGTTGTTGGTGCTTATTAGCATAATTAAGAGGCGTGTGTTGCATGCCATGCCACGTTGGCATAAGCTGTTAAATGGTAGTTAAGGAGCTGTTAAATGGTAGTTAAGGAACTGTTTGTTTGTTAAGGAACTGTTAGTTTGATAAGAATCAGTTAGCTTGTTAAGAGCAATTATGAGCTGTTGAACTGTGTATAAAACAATCTCATTGCTTTGTAATCAATTCAAGTGTTCATTCTCTATTCTTTCATAATACTTCACCCTCATTCTAACATGGTATCAATCACCATTGATCTTGGGGCTCTATGATTGATTTCCGCTGTAATTCTTGATGGAGTTTACAGCGAACTCGAAGGCGTTTACTCACAAGAAAGTAAACGTGGTACTCGACGAGATGAATTTTCTTCTGTGGAAGCTGCAGATTCTGCTTACCATTAGAAGTCATCGCTTGAAGAGGTTACTTACAGGTGCGATAGTAACTCCACCAGAAACTCTGGTTGATGACGATGGCACGGTTCGTGTCAATGATGAGTATGAAGAATTTATGGCTCAAGATAATGCCCTCACATCGTGGTTGTTGTCCAAAATCAGTCTCCATCTTCTTCCCCTATTCGTAGGTACTGAAACGACATCAACTGTTTGGAATACGGTACTCCACTTCTTTGCCAATCGATCAACGACAACAGTCACGAGTCTCCATTATAAACTCCAATCGCTGAAGAAAGGTAGTGACAGCATGAGAACGTACCTCACTCGGGTGAAGGAGGTATGTGATGCTTTGGTGTCTTGTGGCAGTTCTGTCCCACAAGTTGAGCAGATTGCGAGTATTCTCAAAGGGCTTCCTCGAGAATACAAACCCTTCATGGCGATCATCACATCCATGAGGGAAACCTTGTCGTTAGATAGCATCTCTACAATGTTAATTGATGCAGAAACGCAACTAGCAAGTTTTGATGATCAGCTTGATTCCCTACCTATGAGTGCAATTGTTGCATAGGGCGATGCACGAAATACTTCACTGATGGCCAACAATTATGACCAGAGGTCTGGCCATTACTTTAATAATCGAGCTGGTGGAAGAGGTCGTGGCAGATCTAGGATTCAGTACCAACTGTGTGGGAAAGTTGGACACCTGGTCGATCGTTGATGACATAGGTATGATAAGGATTTCTCGTGTGTTACTTATGGTAATCAAGGGCAGTTTCAACCAGAATATAAAACCAATTCCTCTTCTGGAAACTTTACAATTCCTTGTACTAATGATGGTTGTGAGTGTTGTGTCAAACATAAGAGTGGTTCTTCAGCAGGTGATCAACCACAAGCTCATACAACCTCCATACAATCTGAACGTTGGGTGGTCGATACGGGAGCCACACATCACGTTACCTCATATGCCAATACACTGCTAAATGCTTCTGAGTATCGTGGTCCATGTATACTTTTAATTGGGAATGGTATGCCTCTTGATGTTGTTTCAATTGGTGATGCTCGTGTAAATACCAATTCAATAGTACTTGTTTTGCATGACTTATTGCATGTTCCACAAATAACCAAGAATTTGCTATCGGTTTCCAAGCTTGCTAGGGACAATGACGTTTTTATTGAGTTTCATACTAATCGATGATGCATTCGTGTTGAAACCACTGGGAAGTTGTTACTTCAAGGTAAAGAAAGTGATGGCCTATACCTTTTCGATATGAATAATAAACCCTTAGCAGTCCATATTGCACAAAAAACTATCTACGTTGGATCGACTTCATTGGATGAACTTTGGAATCAATGTCTCGGTCATCCAGCTGATGAGACTTTAGCAAATTTAGCTGTTGAACTAGGATTTAAAGTCAAGTCTAATGTAAATAGAGAATGTGTTGCTTGTTATTTGGGCAAAAGTCATAAATTATCTTTCAATGAATCAAATTCAGTGGTTTCTTCTTCATTTGAACTTGTGTACTCAAATTTATGGGGGTCACCACATGTATCTTCCAATGGCTTTAGATTTTACATCTCATTTGTCGATGATTTTACTCGCCATACTTGGGTCTATTTGTTGAAACACAAGGATGAAACATATACATCGTTTCAATTATTTCAGAAACTAGTAGCCAATCAATTTGGCAGCTCGATCAAAACATTACAAACAGACTGGGGTGGTCAATTCAGAAGCATTTCATCCCTGCTAGCTCGTGATGGGATTGTTCACAGACTAATTTGCCCTCACACCTCTTAACAGAACGGTATGGTGGAGAGAAAACACCATCACATTGTTGAACCTGCCTTAGTTTCATTAGCCCAATCATCATTACCTATTAAGTATTGGTCGTATGCAGTGGTTTCTGCGGTGTGTTTAATTAATCGTCTACCTACCAAGGTGCTACGAGGTGTGTTACCATTTGAGAAAATGTTTGAAAGAAAACCTGAATATTCCACGATGAAGGTTTTTGGTTGCCAATGCTTCCCTCATCTGCGTATGTTTCAAAGACATAAACTGGCCTTCAGGTCTCAAGAATGCACGTACTTGGGAGTTAGCCCTCAACACAAAGGGTTCCAATGCTTGCCACCCGATGGACGAGTTTAAATTTCTCGCCATGTTACATTTAATGAGTCTATTTTTTCATTTGCAGGGAAAGAAAGTTGCACCTCGGCGAAGTCTGTAGTCAATACCAGCTCCAACTCTTAGCCACTTTAAATTGTTGCAACAACTAAAACCCTCTGCCAGCAATTACCAATCACTTACTAAATACCACCGTCGTATATGAAGAAGATGGTGATGCAGAAGTACATTATGAAGTCGAGTTACCAAATACCACCACCGTGCATGAAGAAGTTGGTAATGCAGAAATCCATAATGAAGTCGAGATGGTTAATAATGAAATTTAGCATAGTTCAGCTAGTTTCCCACAACATTCCTCTGAGAGCGTTACTGGTGATACTGTCGATATGGGTACTGAAGTTAGTAACATACCAAATGATGGAATGCAAGACAATGTTCCTGAGCCCGATACTGATGCCCCACCCAGTCCTGAGGCTGTTAACAACTTAACTCAAACCCGTGTTCATCACATGATGACACATAGTCGATGTGGGATCTTCAAGCCTAAAGTATTTTCATCTACACTGGATGATGATACCCCTACAATAATTAGTGATGCTCTTCAGTCTCCACAATGGGCTGCAGCAGTCCACGATGAATACAATGCGTTGATTAATAATGACACTTGGACACTAGTCAGTCTCCCCAAAGATAGAGTGACTATTGGGTGCAAATGGCTTTTTCGGATTAAACACAACTCTTATGGATCAGTAAACAGGTACAAAGCACGGCTAGTTGCCAAAGGGTTCTCACAAGTCCCAGGCTATGACTTCAAGGACACTTTCAGTCTTGTGGTGCGATTTGCAACATTCAACATCATATTGTCTATAGCGGTGTCGAATGGGTGAGAGCTTCGACATGTAGACATCAACAATGCTTTTCTCGATGGAGATTTAAGTGAGGAGGTGTACATGCAACAACCTCCTAGATTTGAGAAACTTGATGATCTTGGTAAACCTTTGGTATGCAAGCTAAAAAAAACACTCTATGGCCTTCGACAAGCTCCTCGCAACTGACATGTCAAGTTAAAGGAAAATCTGGTGCAGATGGGATTTGCAATGTCTCGAGTAGACTCATCCTTTTTTACAAAGCATAGTGATGAAGGCTACATCTATGTTCTTGTATATGTCGATGATATAGTTGTTACTGGTCCAGCTTCCACTGCTATACAAAATTTTGTTTCTGTTCTTCAGACTCGATTTTCATTTAAGGATCTCAGGGATTTGAGTTTTTTTCTTGGCATTGAAGTCAAATATATGAATAACGCTATCATGCTAAGCCAAATGAAATACATTGTGGAATTATTGGAGAAAACTGGGATGTTGAAAGCAGCAAACTGTGCAACACCAATGGTGGTGTCTCCCAAACTCTCTTATGAAGAAGGACAGCTGATCCAGAATGCCAGTGAGTACAGAAGTATAGTTGGTTCACTCTTGTATGTTTGTCATACAAGACCAGATATCTCATTTAGTGTTGGCCAAGTTGCTCAACACATGCAACCACCACGTGAATCTCATTTTGTTATA